AAACATCTCATGCACATGATTAACTTAATATTGTTAACATGGCAATATTCCTTAATTTACAGATTCAATGCACTCTCTATCAGAAACCTAGTGGACTTCTTTGTAGAAATTGACAATCTGATTCTACAATTCATATGGAATTGCAAGGACCCCAGAATAGGTCATTCTTGTCCTTGAATGAAGAGCAAAACAGTAAGATTTCAAAACTTACTACCAAAAAAAGAAAAAAACTTACTACAAAGCAACAGTAATCCAGACACTGGTACTGGCAGAGAATAAATATACAGATCAATGGAATAGAACTGAAGGTCCAGAAATAAACCCACACACCTATGGTCAAGCGATATTTGAGGGCATGCAAAGACAATGGGGATAGAGTAGTCTTTTCAGCAAATGGTGCTGGGATAGTTGGATAACCACATGCAAAAGCATCAAGTTGGATACTTACCTTACAGAATATTAAAAAATGGATCAAAAGTCTAAATGTAAGAAATACAACTATAAAACACTGAGGGAAAAACCAGAGTGAATCTTCATGATTGTGGGTTTGGCAAAAGATTCTTAAGTATGCCACCACAAGCATAAGCGAGGACTTCCCTGGCGATCCAGTGGCTAAAGACTCCTTGCTCCCAGGAAAGGATGCCCCGGGCTGGTCCTGCAACTCAGAGTTAGCATGCCGCAAGTAGAGATCCCACAGGCTGCAACTAGACACCCTGCAACTAAAACCTGGCCCAGCCAAATCAATTTTTTTTAAAGTGCAAGCAACAATATTAAAAATAGCTATAATGGATTTAATCAAATTAAAATCTTTTGTATTTCAAAGGACACTGTCAAGAAAGTGGAAAGACAACCCACATAATGGAAGAAAACATTTGCAAATTCTATATCTGATGAGGATTTAATATCCTGAGTATATAAAGAATGCTTACAAATGCTCAACCCAAAGAAAACCCAACTAAAAACTAGGCAAAGGACTTAAGCGGATGTTTCTCTAAAGAAGATACATAAAAATGGCAAATGAGCACATGAGAAGATGGTATCACTACTAAACACAGATTAAAGTCTGAGGCTTCACATTCACTTGGCTGACTGCAATCAAAATGTCAGATAGAAACAGTGTTGGACATGATAGGGAGAAACTGGACTTTCCGCTGTTATTTACCATGTTAACAAATTCAAAGGGGAAGCAACTGATCACCTAAATATATGCCAAAAAAGCATTTAATAAAGTGCAACCTTCACTGATATTAAAACGCCCTATTAACTAGTTGGAGAAGGAAACGTAAGGCACCTGAAAACCCTGCACACATCATGCTTATGGTGAAACGGAGAAGCGTTTGCTTCAAAAAGCAAGAGTGAGATGAAGATGCCCCTTCTGGAAACTTCTGTCCACACTCACACTGCAGGCTCTAGCCAGCCCATAAGGCAGGAGAAAAGTGAGTGATGTGTACCGCTGCGTTTTGTTTCAGCTCCATTTAAGGAAAATTAATCCTGCCTCCTTCAGGTCCTGGGCGCTGCCCCTGGGCCTCTGGGTACAGCATTCACCACCCCATGTTGTGGGCACAGGGGCTCACTGAGCGTAGGCATGAGCACACAGTTCCTCATTCTACAGATTTTCAAAGTCAACCTGGAAAAACAGTGACATCATTCCTTGAATGTTTAAAGGAATAATGCAGCTGTCTGGTGTGGTTTTTAAAAACACATGCTTCATACATGCTGAGACATTTCCTGTCCACATTTTACTGCCTCTGAAATTTTGCATTTTATCATCACGGACCATGCTGGTTAATTTGTTGTATGGTTATTTTTCCTAATCGTCTAATTGATGGAAATACAGCACAACACATAGACTATTGGAAACAGCAAAACTGTGTACTTAGTTAATGAGACAACACTTGTTTAAAACTCATATGAAAGTCCCAGAACTCTGGGCCATCTGGGGAGCGTTACGCACTGTCACGCCGGGACACAGGTGTGGTGTGGTCACTGAGAAGCACTTCTGAGGGTGTGCGCAGCACTGGCCGGGAGGCCAGCAGAAAACCTGCCCGTGCCCGCTGCTGGCTGCCTCCAGCAGCGCGTGACCTCGGGTGATACAGAAATGGCCTCATTCTTTACAAGGCGATCATTTTAGCCTTCCAGCCTATGGGGTGAAGTACCTCGGTAGTGTTTTCTTGTAGTGAAATGTTTCATGCTCACAAAAGCAAATGTAAAATCGCCTGCATGTTCTGGCAAGGACAGTAAAGCCCACAGCCCCCCAGCCCAGCTCAGGAAGTGCCCAGTGTCAGAGGAGTCCCTTGAGGAGGTCTCTATCCTCCTGGCAACTGCTGTCTGTGATCATTCAAGATCCATGTTTAGATGGTGCAGTCCCTCCCCCAGAAGTCCTGAAGCAAGACTGAGCCAGCCGTACCCTCTGAGGGGTCCACAGGCACAGTGCCTGCGACCCGGGGTCCATGCCTGGAGTGGGCTGGGGGCATCCCCCCAGACACAGAGTAGGCCAGGCTGGTTCAGGGGCCAGCAGGGGCCCTGGAGCTGACTGGGGGCCAGGTGGGACCTTGGGGCCCAGCCTGATCCCACCCAGGCAGCAGAAGTGACACTGACGTGGGAACCCAAGACTCGGGCTTGGCGAGCGGGTCACGACCTGGGGTCCTCCATGGTCCCACCTTCCGCGATCTGCACTTCCAGGGGTCGCCCAGAGTCCACACCTTTGCACAACTCTGCCCACCCTCTGTCTCTGGATCAGCAGGCCCTGTACCTCCAAAGAGGCGTGGTCTGCCCTGAACTGCTGTCCTGCCCCTCTGTCCAGGGGGTGCCCCACGGGAGGGCTGCTGTCTCCAAACCCGACGACAGGGCTCCGGCATGCAGTGAGGGGGCAGGGCGCTGGAGCTTGGAGCCTTCCATGCAGGGTCACGACAGGTGAATGCTGCCACACTGGCTCCAGTGGGCTCCTGGCTGCTCAAGGCCTTGGAGACACAGTGGCCGAGGAGACAGCCACAGTGCCCCCGGGCCCCGACACCTGCCCAGAGCATTCAGGGGCCCAAGCAGAAGTCCACGGGTGAACTGCCCTCTCCCGTCCTGCGGGGGACCCTATTCTAAAACCACCAGAACAATCTTGGAAAGTCTGCCTCAGCCTTGCCCAGCAAGGGCACCCAGCTGGTGGGCTCTGGGCCCCATGGAGCCTCAGTCACCCTCCAGTAGTCTGGGTGCCAAGCCATGAGTTGGACAAAAGAGGGCCAACCACCTCTGTGGGGACCTGAGTGGTGAGGCCCCCCGGGGCGTCTTGGTAAGAACCTAAGAACCGGAAATGGAGACGGAGCAAACCAATGCGGCTGGCTCCTTCCTGAGCCCGGGCTGCCCAGTGCTCTGTGCTGCGGAGGAAAGGATCAAATATTGACCGGCCTTAGAAAGCAGCACGTGCACTTCTGCGGGGGCCTGAGCAGACAGAACCCGCTCTGTGGCCGCCCTCTGGCCCCCGGCCCCTCAGCCAAGCTCCCTTGGTGCAGGGACCCTGCCCGCCTTCTCGGCCTTCTCCACCACATTTCCAGACCACCCCCTTGAAAGTCGTGACTGGAGTTGGGTTCCGAGTTTAAACAGCACAGGTTCAGGACTCGCTGGTCCACATCAGAGGAGAGATGGGCTGCAACTGACTTCCTCCTCCCATCACCAGGCCTTCATCTCCAGCAGCTGTGCTTCAAGAACTCGGGTAGCTTCTCTCTCAAGTCCTGACTTTGCATTTTTCCAGGAAACCGGGGGAGAATGCCTGCTAAACACAGAAATTAATGCCGCACCACCCTTGCTTCCTGCTGCCTGAAACTCCATCTCCTTCCTCTTCTCCAGGCGGCAGGACCCGAACTCTGCAATCCTCACGGAAGGAAGGGCTGGGAATTCCTTCCCCTGTGGGCCCGGGGCAGCCCATGCCCCCGCAGCCCAGGCGGTTTGCAGTCCGGGTCCCACCTCCAGTTCCGAGGGTCAGCTCCTCTTCTCACCTGGCGCCTGAGCACGATGTCCAGAGGCAGTGGGAGGATGAGGATCAGGTCTCCTGATGTCCACCAGCCATCCCGGGCAGTCGTTGGGAAGTTCTGACCGCAGGCTCCGCCGGTCCTGCTGTGGGTGCGCCTGACACCCCGGACCGCCGTCCCCCTCGGGCTCCGTTCTCGCGGAAGCCAAGCGGCCGCGCCAGGCCCGCGCTCCGCCCCGCGTTCCGCCAAGGCCCGGAGGCCGGCGGCCGAAGCGTGGGCGCCCTGCGCATCACACACGTTCCCGTAGACAGTACCTCGCCTCTGGTGGAGTGGAGAAAATAAATTAACGTGGGGAAAATGCCTTAAAATAAACGTGGAAGTTTTCAGTCGGCCACGACGCCGAGAAAGTTCGTTAGTGAAAGCAACCGGTAAGTTTCTCTTTAGGAACCGCGGCGCCAAACTATCATTGTCTTGTCTCTGTTCGGAATCGGCTTCCGCCGCCGCAGCCAGAAACAACCTACTAGGTTCCGAGCCCCCGCGGTTGCTGGAGACAGGGCCTCAAAATGCTTTATTGGCTGCTTTGTACACAGAGAGAAGCCCTATTTCGGTCCATTTCAACACTATAAAACCATGTTCACTGTTTTTCAGGAAAATTTGTACAAACATGACTTTTTAAAAAGTTCAAATATCCGTAAGATACCCGTAAGATAGGTTTGTGCATCAATTGCAACTCTACTACAAGAAAACACGAAAACCTTAAAGACAAGTCAAGTAGAGGACCCCAGACGCCCGCTGCGCACCAGCGGGATCCCGCCTCCTTCCCGGGGGCGGAGGTCCACCGGCCCCGCCCCGCCCTTCCTGCCCGGCGGACCCCAGCCCCAGGGTCTCGCGGCTCTAGGCCAGTAATACCGGCCGCAGGCGGCCACGGGCGCGGCGAGGAGTCCGGGCATCTGCAGCTGGGCGGCGTGAAGGCGGGTGCCCAGCGGGAAGAGCAGGGAGGACGAGGGCAGCAGCGGCCTGGCCGTCAGCTTCAGCTTCTCCAGCTCAGCCTCCAGCAGTCGCTTGGCCTTGGCCCGCCGGTTCTGAAACCAGATCTTGACCTGCGTCTCGGAGAGACTGAGGCTGATGGAGAACGCGGTGCGCCCCGCGATGGACAGGTACTGCTGCTGACCGAACCTGCGCTCCAGCGCCAGCAGCTGCGCGGTGGTGAAAGGCGTCCGCTTCTTGCGGTTGCTCTTTTGTTTCCGGAGGGCGCAGGGTGGACCTGGGGGGGAAGAGCACAAAGAGGGCACTCGGACGCACTCCGGGATCGCCGCCAGGGCCGATTCTGGATGTGAGTCCCGGCTCCATGACCGCGAGCTTCAGGTGAGACGGGACCCCGAAAGCCTTTGCGGTAAAGAAGCGAGGCACGGGGGGGACGGGGGACTGCGCTCGGAGCGGGGCAAAGTGGACTGGGGCTCTGCTCCCCCGGGAGGAGGGCAACTCTGCCCGCTTGGAAAAGCGAGAAGCTTGAGCACGAAGCTGCAGCAAGACCTGAGCGTTGAGCGAGGAGGGGAAGCAGAGGCCGGCCGCGGCCGGAGACGGTAGGGTGCGTGGCCGGAGAGACTCTGAGACCAGAGGCCCTGCGTCTGGGGTTGCGGGCCCCGCCCCCGGGGAGAGCAGGGTAGACCTGTTTGGAGGGGACAGAGGGGACAGGACTCGCGCGCCGGAGGGCTTGGGCGGGCTCTAGTGGGCTGGTTTCTTTCTTTGCACTCAGGCCGGCGCGTTAGTGGATGGCTATTTCCGAAGTTACGAACGACAGCGCCTTTCCCGCCCTGGTCCTCCGAGCCCGGGCCGAGCAGGCTCCTCTCTCCGCCCGGGACCGCGCGAAAGAGCACTTACGTGGGGGCGCTGGAGGGGGCGGCCGGCGGGAACCAGGTCCGGGGTTCCGCGGTGCCCCGCAGCCTCTCCAGGGGTTGCACGGGCTCCGAGCCCGGCCAGCGCTCGGCCTCCAGCAACGACTCGACGCCGAAGGGCAGCGGGCCGGGCCTCGCACGGTCCCCGTCGTACGTCCTAAGCCCAGCCGGGTTCATGCCGAGCGAAGCGGGGCCATGCGCTGGCCGGCGGGCGCTGGGCTAGCGGAGCCCGGCGGGTGCAACGTGGCGGCAGCGTGACGCGAGAATACCGGGGGCTCCGCGGCGCCCCCTCCCTCGGCTCCCTTTTTATAAGAAGCAGCGCCCCTTTCACACCCAGCTGTCAAATCGCCGCAGTGGCTGCCACGTGGGTCCAGACGCCCATTGATTTCGCTGACCCGGGAGGAGGGCACGGACAAGGAGAGGCGGGGCCGCCGGCCAAGCCCAGGACTGCGACCCGTGCGCCCCAGCCCCAGCCCCGGCCAGTCCGGCGCACCCCGTCGATTTCCTGGAGCCGCTGTGGCCGGGCTGGGATGCGGCTGGGGCACCGGGGAGCATGAGGAGCTGGCCCCAGCCTCCTCGCGTGGAGGAGCCCACAGTGGGCGCGACGGGGTTGAGCCTCGGTCCGGCGCCTCCCGCCGTGTCCTCGCCCGCCGGCTGCTCATCCCGCTGCGCTGAAGCCCGGAGCCAGAACCATCCGCGCGGGCCTGCCGTGGTCCAGGCACTCTCTCCAAAAACCCTGGGGGCCACTTTTGACTGACCTTGCGCCCGGACTGGAGACTCTGCTTCGGTTGCCTGGAAGTCGGGCCACGGCGCCCTGAGCCTGGGTGGCTTTTCAGGCGCCCGCAGCTGCCGGGCGCTCTCCCTGGCGTCCCACAGCCTGGCCCCGGGAGCGGCCGGCGGGGCACGGCGAACGTCCCAGGGCAGGGCCGGGGGCCGGCCGAGGCGCCCATCTCTCACAGGCCTCCGACGCGGGGCCTGGGACACAAGCAGGGCGCCTCGGGCCGCCGGTCGCGAGGTCGGTCACTGGGCGTTGGATTCACCGTCAGCCTCTCCCGCTCCGCACTTGCTCGGCCCAATCCTCGGAAAACCCGGGCCCTGGGACCTGGGAAAAGCCCTGCGACGCTATTTCCGACAGATCCCTGCCGCATCGGTCGAGCTGCTCCCGATACGCCGCGACCAGGTGGAGCCGGATCCCCGGCCGGGTTCTAGAAGGAGCCAAGGTCCGACAGAGACTAGCAGTTATTGGGACTCTTTCTCCTAAACTGGACCGATCTTTGGTTTGGAAACCTTCTTGAGTGCTTCAGACAAGGCACTGCTCTGCAGTCTTTCCGCGAACGGAAGAAACCTCGCATGAATTTTAGAATAAATCACAAGATAGGTTTGCCAGTAACGATTTCATGTCGGAGTAATAACCCGGAACGCAAAAGCAGCAAACTAAATCGACACATGTTTATTTTTGAAAAACCAAAGTTGTTTAAGGAAAGCTAGCTTTGGGTGATGCTTTGTCCTGTTAAGCTAGAGAAATTTACTCAGAAAGTTTCTCACCATGCAAATTTAGAAGCAAGACTGAAAGGGCCAGAGCCCTCTGGCCAGGCGTGTGTCTGAGGCTAGACCAGCTCTTTCTGCATTCCTAGATAAATTGCCTTTTTCTCATGTAACAAAGATGTTCTTAGTTGATTGAAAATAATTGCATCATTAAAGCAATCTTTGAAGGCCTCTCTCCTGATAGTTTAGCAGGCCACTCACTAGAGCCTTTGAAAAAGAATTTTAACGAGGAAAACAGCCAGCTGCCTCGGCCTGCTCCTTGTCCACTCAGGATGGCCCAGAGGTGGCTTCTGGGTGGATGCCGCAGGGCCTGGGCTGTGCCTGGCTGGTCTGGGGTGGGAAGGGGCTGTGGGGCGAGGTACAGGTGCTGACCTTCAGGAGGTCTCCCTGGAGGCATCTGGACTGGTGTGTCTCCCTCTCAGCAAGGGAGGTCTCCTGCCTGGCCCAGCCCCAGGGCTGGAGGATGGAGGAGAGCCCCTGGGCGTGGACAGCAAAGCCAGACCCCAGCACCGAGCATGAACAGGCTCTGGCACAGCAGCTTCTTCAGCCCCACTGGGGCTGGAGGTGGGCAGGGGAGGTGGGCAGGGGTGGTGGGCGTGAGAAGGACAGGATCCCATTTCTGTCAACGTGTGGGCTTTGTACAGAGAAGCCTGGACCCAGCTACAGAGCCTGGGCACTGTCTCTGGTCACCAGAAGAGATGAAGACACCTGCGGGCACCTGGCTTTCCAGTGGCTCAGAAGCAGGCCAGCCAGGCCTATGGACAGGAGACCAGGCCCAGACCTGGCAGTGGCCCCTCTTGAGGCTGGTAGGTGCTGAAGTCAGTGCCAACTCCCCACCCCATCTCAAGTGAGCCCCTGAAATGATAGCAAAGCCTCAAAGACCGGCCTGCTCAGTCCGCACTGGGGCAGACACTGACCCCAGTCTGAGCGACGTTGTTCCTGCAGTTTGCTCTGAGCCCTGAGGGGCCAGGAGGTCAGCAAAGGCTAGACACCTGTTCTTCCTGTGTCCTGGTACCTCCTTTTGGTGCTGACTTCACAGGTTGAGCACATTCCAGAAACGAGGGACGAGTCCAGACATGGGGATCGGACACCGAGAGGCCTCCTGTCGGTGCAGTCAGCGTAGGGAGGTGAGTTCTGAGAACGGATTTTGTTTTGTAGGACTCATCCAGCGGGGTTTGGATCTGCACGGGACTCAGGAACAGAAACACTCTCCCGGTCTTAAAACCTGGTGGAGGGGAGGGTCTGCTGAAGTGAGAGAAAGTAAGTCACGCTCACAGCAACAGTGCTGAGGGAGGGAAGCTGGCATCACGTGACTGAGGACACTGACCGTCCCCTTTTGGACGTGGATGGAGGCAGCCAGCGTGGTCTCCATGGTGGCTTGCAGGTGGGGCGCCATTGCTGGCCCGTGGCCTACAGACAGCTGACTCCTGGTCTTGCTCCAGGGCAGCACCGCCCCTCCTCTGGGCCCCTTCTAAAGGCCGCGCCTTCCAGACAGTGCAGTCTGCAGGGAGCACCGTGCAGCTCTACCGCTTCATGCCTCACCCTCTGTCACCTCTCTCAGCCGAGGCCCCCAACAGCCTCCCTTTCATCCTGAAAGGCCGGGACCACTCTCCTTCTCAAAGGCATCTGTGCTGGTTCCTTTGACTTTTTCCTTCTCAACGTATTGGAAAATTGCTCCAATTACAAATGGTACTTTCCATGACTCTGGCCAGAAGAGGGCTAGATGACACTCTCCAGCAGCTGGTGGGTGTGATGAGGGAGAGGCCAGCGGACAGGAGATCCGTCTCCCCAGGTGGATGCTGTGGTGTCGCTCAGGGGAGGACCTGCTCCAGGTCGGATGAGGCCCATGAGATGGGGAAGGCTCAGGCGAAGGTGGGGGCCGAGGAGAGAAGGCCCCGGGACTCATCCTGAGACTCCTGTCACTTCAAGGTGTCTCCCCACGTCTTTCCTTTTCTCCTGTTCCCGTCTAACTTCTCTGCCAATTCACCTTCATGTTTATTCTTTACGTGCAGGACTTTGAAACCTGGGCACGCCTCCTGGAGAGGAACCAGAGGAGGAGCCCATTTTTATCGAGTGACGCTCTGTCCAGAGCAGCAGGTGCAAGTAATTTTGTCTGGTACAGAAGGACCCCTCCCCTCCCCTACGGCTGCTACCTAATCCTCAGGACCCGGCAGTATGTCACGGTATGTGGCAAAGCTGGGATTGAGACTGTTCATCAGCTGCTTTGGGATGGCTAGAGCCTTCTGGAGCATCCAGGGAGACCCAGTCTAATTGTGAGGGTCCTCGAGAGGCCAGAGGGGCAGTGTGGGACGGACTGAGCCCGTCACAGCTGGCTTTGGCTGTGGCCTCTAGAGGACCCAGAGCCTCCAGCAGGACCAGCCCAGGCTACTCACACCTGATGTAGCTGAGGGAGACCCACGTGGACTTCTGGCCCCAGGTCTGTGCAGGGGTGTATCTGGGCTGTCTGCAGTCGGGAGACAGTGCCTCTGGACAGTGCATCTGGACAGAGGCAGTAGGGAGCTGGCATCCCCTAGCCGGCCCTTCTTATCATTCCCACTTTTGTGGGAGAGGAAGCAGGCTCTGAGGGAGGCGATTTGGTAGGGGTCCGGCGGGATGGGCCCAGCCGCGAGTCACTCTCATGTCCGTGCTCCCTCCTCTGCACACTGCCTGGGGTGGGGGCCTGGCACCGTCTCCATGGGTCAGAGGTACCTGGGCCTCGCTGTGGCGCCAGCTCTTGCAGAGTCCAGGCCCTGGGCATCCTGAGCCACCTCCCTTGCTCTGCCTGCCCCACCCTGTCGCCAAGCCCCCACGTGGGATGCGCTCAGGTCCCCTCTGCTGGCAGAGCTGGGAGTCAGACTGTCTGTACCCGGTGGAGGTGGGGCTCTGTCTCCTGGGGGAGCTGGCTGTGGGCGTCTAACTGCAGAGACCAGGTGAGCTGGAGGTCTCGGTGGACACAGGACAGCAGCAGGCCAGGGAAGTCCTTGCCTGCAGAAACAGGGGGCCCTAGGGACAGCTTGTGGTGCGGCCCAGACGTGGGCCTGAAGCATAGGATGGGTGGGAGAGTGCACAAAGCTCCGCAGAGAGGATGCTATTTTGGAATTACTGAATTGTAAATATATATATATATATTATTCTTAAGAGTGAACAACTTTGGAGATGCTTGAAAAAAGGAAGGGCATGGCGGGAAAACACCATTCAGGAGAAGATGGGGGTGAGTGTAGGATGGCTCTGGAAACAGGAGCCAAGCTGCCACTCCAGGCTTGATGCCCTTCAGCTCCAAGGCCCAGAGGGGACAGTGATTAGACCCAGGGCCTCTGGTCGGCGCTCCAGGGCAGGCGATAGGGCAGGACCCTGACCCAGGGGTGAACTACGAGGGCCATGAGAGTCCCCTGGCGCCAGCCCTTTGGGCAGTGAAGGCTTATCAGTGCCCTGATCTCTAGCAACCAGCTCTGAGATTCATTATCTTTATCGTTTCCTGCTTTCTATTTCATTGCTCTTTTTGTTTCCTTTACTTAGTTTACATTTAGTTTGCTCTGCTTTTTCAAGTTTCTTAGTGTGGAAGCGCTCATGGATTTTTAACCTTTCTTCTTTCCTGGTGTAGCCGTCAGCGCCATGAAGTTTCCTGTAAGCACTGCTTTGGTGCGTCCTACAATTTCGATGTTTTCATTCTTAGTTCAAAATATTAATTCTCTCTTAAAAAAATTTTTTTTTATTAATTCTCTTTTGATTTCGTCTTTGACCCAAGGTCACTCAGAAGTGTGTTACTGAGTTTCCAAGTGTTTGAGGTTTTTTCAGGGATGTTTCTGTATCTGTTTTCATTTTACATCCATTTGGTAGCACACACTTTAACATGTGTCCTTGGCCTTGACTGGGGAGGAGGGAAGGGGAAGCTGGGATGGAGAGAGATGTTGGGGGCAGAGGCCAGGGCCACAGAGCTCAGAGAAGGGACCCTAGGACCCGTGAGGCTTGAGGGGCCGTGGGACTCAAGGACAGGGATCCCAGGACTCTGAGCGACTGACTCCACCTCTCCTGGGAGTTAACGGCCCACCCAGAGCCTCGGGGGAGAGCCCTCTGTCAGGACCCTCTGACTGAGGAGGGACTGGGGGGAAGTCAAGCCCCCGGAGCAGAGGAGACCCTGTGTGGCCTGAGTGCAGGGAGCCAGGGGAGGGCAGCAAGTGGGAGCAGTGGGCAGTTCCGGGGCCGGGCGCGGCGGGGTCACACGCTCACTGCCCAGCAGTGCCTGGGACCTGGCTCATCTCCGTGCTGCTTGCCAGCCTGCTGCGAGGACTCTGGGAATCCACAGGAGTGTCCCCGTGGCACCTGGGCAGAGGGAACCTGGAGTCCAGCCAGGAGCCCCGAGGCAGCCCCTGGCTCTGGCAGAGGAGGGAGGCATGAAGGAGCCCAGGCACAGGGCCTCATTGCCCCTCTCAGCGCTACCGGAAGGGCTGGCTCGGGCCCCCCGCCCCGTGCCCCACTGGCCTGGGAGACAGGTGGTCCTGGTTCGGAGAGGGCGGTGGGGGGCCCCCCTGGCCCCCCTAGGCAGTCTTTTGCCCTACTCCACAGGCTGTCGCACCGTGGAAAGGGCCTCTCGCCAGCCACGGGCACTGCGGACAGAAGTGCTGGTGAGGGCCGTGGGCTTGTAGCATGGATGGGGAAGGCCGCGGCCCCAGACCCCATCCTAGGAGAGACGGAGGGTCCTCCTGGGTCTGGCCACTCCCCCGGGAAGCTGGAGAGGGTCCTATTCAGCCAGGCCATGTATTTCCTCCCAAAGACCTTCTCCCTGCCCAGCCCAACTGCCCAGCACACGGCCACCTCTGAATGCCCAGCCGGGCCCTTCAGTCCTGGCCTGGTCCCTGCATCCAGGCGGGGCCCTCCCCAGGGCCTTAGGAGTGTTCAATGGGCCGGAATACACAGTCGGGGCGTTTTTGGGGACAGCGGGAGGCCTGGCTTGTCTCCAGGCAAGACGGACCTGTGGGATCCTCTAGCTCTGCTCCGTGCAGGGGACGTGTCTGTGCCAGGCTACAGCTGGTTAATGAGCTGGAGAATACAATCACGCCTCCCTGGCTGTGAAAATCGTTTCAGGGACTGCGGAGTCAAGTTTGTTGCTGGGAGAACCCAGAACTGATTTCCTCTGTCTGGGGTGGCCCAGCGTCTAGCCACCCTGCAGCAGAGAGAGGGTCCCTGAGCACAGTCATGAGGATGAACCGTGTTCTAGAACACGCAAGGGGAGTTCTCCTTTTCCCCTGGTAATGAGCAATATCAGACTGTCCTCACAGACAGCAAGAAGCCTGGGGGCGATGCCTGGGAGCCCCTGCTCCAACAGCCCATCTACCCACCTGCCCATGGAGCCCCTTGTACTGAGGGCAGGTGGAAGGTTCTAGATGCTAAGGCCTGCAGGCAGGAGTTGGAGGCCCACGTCTCACACCCCACCCACCCTGAGCTCCGCCCCCTGCATGATGCAGCGCTGCATCACCTGTGTGATGCCCGCCCTCCTGGGCTCAGAGCTCACCTGTGGCAGAGGACCAGGGCCGTGAACCTAGTGCCAGCTACAGGTGGGTCTTGAGGGGAAGGAAGGGTGAGGGAGGGTGAAGGGGGAAGGAGGAGTGAGGGAGGGTGAAGGGGGAAGGAGGGGTGAGGGAGGGGGAAAGGGGAAGGAGGGGTCAGGGAGGGTTAAGGGGGTCTGGGACTCGCATGCCTGGTTCCAGACTTGGCTCTGCTGAAGGGCTGTGCTACCTGACCTGGCATCTTAACCTCTCTGGGCCCCAGACTCCTGCTTGGTCTCCCCCACATAAGCCAGAGCAAACACACAAAGAATCCCCTTGGTCATGGTCATCAAAGCCTCTGCCCACTGCCCTTGCACCCCCTCCAGTCAACCAGGCACAGAGGCCCTGGGGGAGAGCAGGTCACCAGCCACGCAGGTGGCCTTAGGGGGAAACAGGCTACTGGGTCGGCTGCTCAGGGGAGGGAAGGGGGTCCGTCTTGTCCCAGGCCCTCAGGGCTGATGGTGCCTGCATAGTTGCCCGGGGCCTCGAGAGGGGAGGGCACCTCTGGCTAGTCTCAGGGTCAGCTCTGTGGAGAGAGACCCTCTGTCCACTGAAGTGGGGGTTCTGCCAAAGTGCTGTCAGCCTTCCCCAACCCTGTGCAGCAGGACCACTCCCAACAGGGCAGGCAGGCCTCTGAGTCTCTGTGGGAGGCTTCTGGAGTTTGTAATCCTGCCTAATCCTGCTTCAGATCCCTGTGGGCAGGAGGAAGGCCACACGCTGCCGACTCAAGCCAGCCAGCAGGTCCTGGTCCCGGGGATAGGTCGGGGGGTAGCCCTCTGTGGCCCTGTGCTCAGGCATGAAGCAGAAAGATGGAGGTGCCCGCCTTGCCTGCCTCTCTGGGGCTTCCCCTCAACCTGGGCAAGGTCACACACAGGTTGCGTCAGCCAGCCTCGTCTGGGTCCAGGGCCAAAGTAAGCCAGAGCTGGGGCGCCCCCAGAACCTCAGACGGGAGCTGCAGGGGACTTTCAAGGGTGCTCTGGCACTTCTGTTCACACTGAACAGACCCTGCCTCAGGAAGTTCTCTGCGCTGATGGCCTTGCTCCTGAACATGGCCAGGCTGGAGGCCAACTTGCAGTGAGGGCCAAAGGGACTGGCCCCAGAAAGTGCATCCTCCCCGGCCCGTGCCCTGTCAAGGGGAAGGAGGTTGCACCCTCCACAGTGGCTGCTGGGCAGTGCCTAGGGCTCTCCAGGGACACGAAGTGAATGAGGAGCAGCAAGGGGCCCAGGGGTCACACAGGGCATTTCCAGTGCATCCTCCTACAGCCATGATGGGGCCTGACACAGGAGAGGGACGCTTAGGCGGCCTGGTCAAGGAAACTCAGCATGAAATCTGAGCAGAGACTCCAAGGCCAGGAGCACTGTGGGGACAGAGGCGGGAGAGGCAAGAGGACCTCAGTCATCACACCCAGGGCTGAGACTGAGTTTTGTTCTAAATGCGTCAGGGCAGAGTTGGGCATGAAGCCTCAGAGGCTCAGACCAGAGGAGGTATGACAGCTCTCTATTCCAGCCTCACAGATTCCTCCAGCACGGTGGGTGGGCTGCAACCAGGAGCTCTGCAGAGACCATTGGTGGGGGCCAACGAGGGCCTGACTGGAGCCAGTGGGATTCTTCTCGATCAAAGCTGGTCGGCAATGTGAACTGTGTGTGTTTGAGGAGGCTGTGTTTGGAAACAACATAGGATAGCGGGTAACTAATAACAGCATCTAATTTAATCCTGGTCTGAAAGCCTATTTAGACCAAGCAACTGAACGAGCACTTTAGCAGTGGGTCTGACCGCCAGGTCCTGGGCAGAGTAGCTGTCAAGCCAGGTCTTGAGTCAGGAGGGAACGAGGGTTGAGCACCCCCAGACTGCCCCAGCAGAATGAAGTGCAGCTCCCAGACTCCATAAGGGTTGGGGTGACAGGCTCATTGTGGGGAAAGTTCACGGGCATGGAGGGAGCACCTCCCAGGAATGGCACAGGCTCTGGGCAGCCACCCTGGTCCCCGACCCTGACCCACACCTGCGGCCTCATGAGGTGGAGCCTGGCTATTTCAGGGCCTCTGTGCAGTGGGCCAACAGAGGACTGGGCCTTGACCAGAATAGAGGGATCTTTACTTCCCTGGTGGCCAAGCCTGAGCTGGGGTCCTATTCTGTGCCCCTCAGCCTGGCACGGAGTCAGTGGACCCTCTGGGGCACGTGTGAGATCCTGGGGGTGCTCATCCCACCCGGAGCCGGTGGCGAGGAGCCCGGCACGCCAGGGAGCCCTGCAGGACTGAAGGCTCCCTGTGCTCTGAGGGGTGGGGAGACATGCGGGGGGTCGGGGCAGCGGCAGGACCCTCAACCGAGGCCCGAAAGGGTCTGAGGCAAAGCTGAGGGATGTCCCGGCTTGACAGCTCCTAGGATCCAGGCACTCCCTGCCATGTGGCCTCAGTCACCCAAGATGAGCCTGTCCCCACCCTCCCACCAGGTCCGGGCTGGGCAGCCTGTGGCCACACACGACCCAGAAAAGGACAATGCTTCCCATTTTTTGTCAGCGGTAAGGCAGGATGGGTCCCACCACAGCCAGTCCCAGTCCTCTTCCGGAGGCAGTCACGCCCTCTACAACCCCAGGAAAGGCGCCCAGGACCCTGAGGGGTCCCCACCCGCCGACAAGGGGCAGAGCAGGGCTCAGGCAGCCCGCTGAGGCTCGGTCCCAGACCCCTGGGCAGTGGGCCAGTGCTCCTCCCAGCGGGGGCGCTCTGGTGAGGAGCATCTTCACAGCCCTGCCTCTCCCCGGGGGGCTCGCTGCCCACCCTTCCATACCCCCTCGTCCACCAGGTGTGGGGCTGGAGGGCGGTTGGGCCGAGCTGCCGCAGGCGGAGGTCCACGCAGGTCATGCCCCTCGTACCCGGGAGGGTGAGGCGGAGGGGCAGGGAGCCGCGGGCCCTCAGCACCCCGTGGGCGAGGGCTCCGCCCTGTAGTCCCCGGTTCCCACAGCGGCCGAGGAAGCCAGGCTCCCCGACTCAGAGGTGCTCTGGCCACGAGGGCCCCCAGCCCCAGACTCTCCGATCCGGCCCTTCTGGCTTCGGAAGCGCAGGTCAGGCGCCGGCTGGCAGCAGGCTTCCCACGCGAGGGCCGGATCCACGTCCCCGGCTCCCCGCAGGAGCCCCTCGAGGTCGGGCAGGGGCGCGGCGCCTCTATCGTGCACACGAGGGCGTCCCCGGTCACCGGGGAGAGGCGCGCTCCTCCCGTCGGCGGCTGCCGGGACTCACGCCAGCCGCCCCCGTCGGCCTCCCAGGCAGAGAGCCCGGCCCAGGCTCCGTGCCCTGGGTGCCCGGGAGGCTTCTGGAGCGTCCCGCAGCGGAGTCCCCGGGCCGGCAACGACCCTCAGACGCCACGGCCCGGCGGGGCCTCGTGGGGAGGCCGGGCAGGTCCCGGGGAGGGCGCCGGGGCCGGTCCTGCGGCCGCTCCTTCCCGCCCCCGCCGCCCTCCCCGACCCGGCCTCCCGTTCCCCGCGCGTCATCTCGGGCCGCTTCCCCTGGCTCTCCCCGCCCACCACTGCCTCCCCTCACACCCCGCCTCTCCTCTCCTCTCCCCACACACTCCGCCTTTCCTCTCCTCTCCTCTCCCCAACACACCCCGCCTCTGTCCCCTCCCCGCCGCCTCCTCCCCGGCCTCCCTCCTCCGTCTTCGCCCAGGGTTTTTGCCCTTTTGACGCCCCCGCCGGCTTCGCGGCGTCCTCAGCGCTCCCACCCCGCGCGGAGCTGCCGTCTGGCCCCTCGGGTTCAGCTCCTTTTCATCCTTTCCTTTTCAACTTGATCAAAACCCGCGGAGAAACCGAAGCCCTGGGGGAGAGGGCAAGGTCGAGGGGGCGGAGCCTACGCTCTGGGAAGCCCCGCCCCACCCTGCCCTTCCCCCGCCCGGGCCCCTTTGGTAGGAGCGCGGGGGCGGGATCATGGTTGCGGGGGCGGAGTCTACGCTCAGGGAGGAAGCGAAGCCCCGCCCCTCCCCGGGCCGCCTTGTCCGGTTCCGCGCCCTTTTGGGCAGGCGCGCGGGGACACGGCCCGGCCTGTTTCTCCGCGGCCGTGCGTGACCAGCCGTCCTGACCCCACAGTGACCAGGTGCGTCTCCCAGATAGTGTTTGATTGTTTTTAGTGTTTGTTGAAAGAATGAGACGGAGAAGGAGAGAAAATTCGGATAAGTTTAGGGGACAGGCCGCCAAGACCCCATCCCAGTCGTCCTGGAGCTCGGGCCTCCGAGGCTGTGCTGGGCCCGCCTGGAGCGGGTGGTGTGAAGGACCCCATAGGTCCCGCCCCTGGGAGCTCGAGCTGATGGCGGGGGCGGGGATGGTGGTGGAGTAGTGCCCTTGGGGGTCAGCTCCTGTTCCCTTAGCCCCCAGCTCTGCCCGCGGCCGTGAGGGCCTGGCCAGCAGACATGTGGGTGGGAGTCGGAGTAGAGCACTTTCCGTTTGCACACATCTTCCTGGGGTGTCTGTTCTCTACCTGGAACAATCAGCTCTTCATGCAAGGGGGCAGAGCTGGGATTTAGACTCGCTTCATTCGTTCATTCGCTCATTCATTCATTCATTGAAGAAATAGCTCTGGGGCTTTTTCAGGCTGTGGCCTGGCCCTGGAATGCAGCCCTAGGAAGCCAGGAAGGAACTCTAGAGAACAACTCCTTGGGGCCCCGCCCCAGCTCAGACCGAGCCTCCCCAGGCCGTGCTGTGCTTCCCCCCAGCCCAAGGCTGCATAAGGGATCTTCAGGGCCTGGGGTTTGAGGCTGGAGGTGACATGAGGGGTCCCGCTGCCCTGAGACCTCAGGGAGCAGGGCTCCTGCTTGTCACAGGGTGTGGGGGACTTCTGAGGGGCTCTGCAGAGTGGAGCCCGTCCCTGGGCCTGGCGCCACAAGAAAGCCTGGGTCCCCAACTCCCCTGTCCCCTGGGCCTTGCAACTTCCTCCGCCTCTCCTTCAGCAGGCTCTGGGAAGGCCTCTCCTTGGCACGGCCTCCCCTTCGGCCACACCACCCACCCTCGCACATACACAGACAACGGATTCCCCCCCACCCACCTGTGGCTCCCGGAGCCCAAAGACCTGCAGTGCAGGGGCTGGTCCCACTGCGCTGGTCCTGCTCGCAGCCGGGCTGCCAGGCCCAGGGTCCTCGGGGACACCTGTCAGACTGGGGCCCTCGGGTCTCCTGCTGGCATCCAGCTTGTGATGAGGCCCAGACACCAGACCAGGAAGGGCTCCTTTGAAATCTGGGACCATGAGTGCAGAGACCTCACCTGGCCAGGGGCCTCCGTGGGTGAACCTCAGTCTGACCAGGTGAAGCTGCAGGACAGCTATGGACACGCCCCGTGCTGACCGACACCCTCGCCTCCCCCGGGCCTCAGCTGGGACTGTGGCGCTCAGGTTCCCTTCTGCCTCACCCCTGTGCAGCACCCCTGGGAAGCAGGACCACACCCAGGACCGGAGGCTCTCCCTGGCCCCCGTGGCCCCCACAGTCTCTTCGGGGTCTGTTGTGGGCACAGCCCTGCCGAGTGTCCTCCCACCCAGCAAGGTCTGTCTGTCTTTTCTAAAATTGAACTCAGTCTCCGCCTTGACCTGTGGGTTCCTGCCCGGTCATCTGCCTGAGGTGCCTCAGCACACAGACTGGCAGGAAGGCAGGAAGCTGCCGCCACAAGGACCCCCCTCACTGGCTGCCCCCTAGGAAGTTCCAGACGGGGTGAGGGAGTTGGACCAGCATCCTGTTATTGCCTTGAAAACAGAGAGGAATGGAGCGCCTGGCTGGCTGCCCAGGCGTGAGCTCTCAAGATCAAGCAGGTGGCAGGCACGGTTCCATCTGAGGGGGGCACATGTCTCCCCCACCCCCCAGCCTGCTGTGCGGAGTTGGGGGCCTGCCCTCCCTCTGGGCTCTGGGCGGTGGGCCCGGCCTGCTTGAGGTTCTCTGCGCCCCCGGCCAGTCACAGCTGAGCACGGAGCCGGCCACCAGCACCATTTCCAACCCCAGTTAGAGGGCCTTCCACCTGCCCTTGCCTGAGGCTGCCGTCCAACCTAGACCCTTTCTGGGGTTGTCGGCATGCCCGGGCCTGGGGAGTGGGGACTGAAGGCCCCACTTGAGGCCTTCTCTGGGCCTGGAGCTGCACCTGGGGTGGCCATAGTCCAGGTGTGGACACGGTTGACCCAGGGTAGAGGAGCCTGCCATGTGGGAAGCTGACCTGAGCTTGGTTCTCCCTCCCTCTCGTCCATCTCAAATACGTATGCTGCTCGGCAGGCTGGACACACGGATGCCCACCGTGTCCACCTCCTAACCTTGCCGAGCAGGGCCAGTGAGCTGGGACACAGCGCCTGTGCTGGAGGCCCCTGGGGAGCGGGTGAGACTCCAGGGGGCCTTATTCAGAGGCCCCCCTTGAGATCTGGAAGTGAAGAGGGAAAGGATGACCAGCAGAGGCGATGGAGGCTGGCTGTGGCTGTGGCCCTGGGGCTGACCGAGGGGCCACAGGAGCTCGGGAGGAGCCAGCTGGGGACCCCGTTGGTCAGCAGGGCCCACTCCTCCTGGCAGCACCCGCGCCTGTCCAAACACCGATCAAAGGCTCAGACAGCAGCCGGCTGGTCCAGCCAGTGGTCCAGCCTTGATGGGAAGGAAGGAGGGAGCAGCCATGCCCGTCCCTGAGAGAGCAGGGAGCATGCGCCAGGGGGCGCGGGGTGTCGGTTCCCTCCCTCTTCCTCCAGGTCGAGGGTGCTGATAGCAGAGCAGGACCCCAGCCCGGCTGGGGCAGCAGTCCTCTGGGCTCTGCCCCAAGAAGAGCACAGAGCCCCAGGGCGCCCCTGCGGGGTTCCGGCCAGGAGCATCCCATCCTGCACAGTCAGCATCTGTGGTCAGGGCCGCGGTCACGCGGAGCTGCTGCTGGGGCTCCCAAGCGAGTCTGAGCTCAGCTCCATTCCCGTTTTCAGTGCTCTGGTCACCAGTGGACTTTATCTCTATCCTGTCCATGTGACATTCAGGTTTTTAAGTGGAAAGATGGGTCTGATGGTAGAGTCCGCCTGCTAGCGGGAGACCCGGGTTCGATCCCTGGGTCAGGAAGATCCCCTGGAGAAGAGCATGGCAATCCACTCCAGTATTCTTGCCTGGAGAATTCCATGGGCAGAGGAACCTGATGGGCTATAGTCCATGGGGTCGCAAAGAGCAGACATGACTGAAGTGACTTAGCACACAGCATGTTGATTTAGCTTGTGTTTCTTCCTCGGGTATGAAGCTGACAAGCAGTTTTTTCCAAGTGATCACATTGTCTAGTGGCCCAGATCGGAGAGGAGCGTTTGGCGGCCAGCTTCCCCAGGTGGGAGGGAGACGTCGAGGCCCGGAGGGACACAGGTGGCCCTCCCCGGTCACTGGGCAGCACTGGGGGCAGGAGGGAGGGTTTCCGGAAACCACAGCAGGGTGGGGCCACCTGGTCCCCGCCCCCAGGGCGAGGATCCTGGAGGAGAGCAGCTGTTTGGGGAGAGTCACCAGCAGCTGGGACCGTGCCTCGGAGCAGGCGGCCAGCCCCAGGTACCATGTGCATTCCCTGTCCCTGACCCCAGCCTGGCGTGCCCTCCTGAGAACAGTCACCACAGTGCTTTCCATCGCTGCTTCTAGCGGGAGGGTCCGGCCCAGCCTCCAGAGAGCTCCAGGCCCCACCAGGGCCTCTTGCTCTCCTGGTACCAACCTCAGGTGGATTCCAAGCGAGCCCTTGCCGTCCCGCCTCTGGGACCAGCTGTGCCCTTTCCCAGCGGCAGCCGCCCTGGCCACTTCTCCTGAAACCCCCTCCTTCCTCAATTTGTTTCCTTTTTTCACTTTCCCGCTGTTCATCAGATTTAGCAGAGATGTCTCAGAAAGCGTTGGCTGCAGAAGTCCTGTCTGGGGCAGAAGCGCCCCGGCTGCTCCCACGCCTCCTCTGAGGACGGGCGTGGGGAGCGGGCAATGTGGGTACCACAATGGAGGCCCTTGGTGCCCAAGAAGCACAGCAGCAGCCTCTGCCTCCCGGACGCCTGGACGCTGCGGGGGAGCACCCTCTCCCTCTTGGAGGTGAGAGGAGGCCGGGGGTGTTCCAAGCGCCAGGCTTCCCCAGAGCGTCCCTCAGAGCCTCAGCACCTCCTCCCCTGGTTCTCAGCTGCCTGGCCGACGCGTGGTGTAGGGGCCCTGTGGGAAGGGCAGGGAGGGCTAGACCACAGGGGGCTTCCCGAATTGACCTGGCCCTCATGACCCTCACGGTGTTCGCCCAAGTGGGGAGGGGTCCGAGCTGGAGGCCCCAGAGGCCATGAGGTCACAGCCTGCCTTGGGACTTCAGGGTTGAGGGCTGCTTGCTGGGACTGACACGGGGCTGTGGGTGCGCGAGGAAGCCTGCAGGACTGAGCCGTGGAAGGACCTGCTCTTGGGGACAAGCAGGCAGGCCCGTGAGGGAGGCCCAGGCTCAGCTCTGGCTCCTGGACGGCGCAGCGGGGCCTCAGTGGGAGGCTGTGTGCAGAGGTAGGCAGTCCAGGGCCCCGCATGGCATGACCACTCCCTGGGGCACATTGCTGGGAGGACCCAGCCAGTGCACTCGCTGCGCCCCCAGCACCGCGGGAGGTGACTGCACAGCCCCGGTGCCCTCCCACCGCCCCGGAGTCTGGAAGCTGCAGGCCTTGGGCCTCGGGTATGGCTCCCTGAGGCCTGCTCCTGGCCCCTCGACACCGGGTCCTCATGCAAGGTGGGTGGGGGTGGCAGGACTCCATGGGGTCTCCTTCAGAAGGACACTGACCCCAGCCTGGGGGCTCCACCGGTGACCTCGTCACTTCCCCAAAGCCCCACCCCCTTACACCATCACCTTGGGGTTAGGATCTCAGCACAGGAGGTCTGGGAGGGCACAGACATCCAGCCTCCCGTGCCTCTGGATTCGTGAGCCACAGGGGACTGAAGGTGTGGCCACCGTGAGCCCTAGCCCTTTTGGAGCCAGATGTCCTGTGGATGTCCCCAGAGGCCCTGAGTGGGCACCGCAGAGGGCAGACCCCCAGGGTGTGCTGGAGCAGGGTCCCAGTCACTGGGGTTCGGTGGAAACCCCAAGGCAGGCCGCAGAGTGGGAGGGGCTCAGGGCCCCCCGGGAGGCTGGGTCCTCAGGACGGGTTAGGGGCGCCTGTGACTTCCTCTGGTGGGTCCCGAGTTGGGAGGGTAAGGGTGACCGTCACTGACCGCACCCTGGCAGGTTTCGGTGGTTGGTGGCTTCCCGGGCTGGCTGCGGCCTTCTGTATCCGCGGCTCCACCTCTGCAGAGGGTGGGCCGTGGTCCCTCTTCTGAGTCAGCTCGTCCGTCTCCACCTCCTGCAGCCTAAGGGCGGTTTTCTTCTCAGGGACCAGAGGCAGATCCAGGGAAGCACACATGGCTTCCTGCGCTGGGGAGGAAGGCGTGCCCCCGGCCATCCCCCCGCTGAGGCCCAGCGATCAGTTCCACCTGTTTGTGAGCTACAGCAGCGTGGACGCCGTGTGGACCCACGGGCTCACTGGCCGCCTGGAGGCCGAGCTCCCGGGGCTGAGGGTGTGCCTGCATGAGCGGGACTTCACGCCCGGCAGGAACGTGCTGGAGAACATGGCGGGCTGCATCCAGCAGAGCCAGAAGGTGCTGCTGGTGCTGAGCGAGGACTTCGTGCAAAGCCGCTGGTGCCTGCTGGAGGCCGACCTGTCCCTCGTGGGCTCCTGCCTGGAGAGGAAGCCGGTCCTCCCCGTCCTGCTGCGGCCCTGCCGGGTCCCGCTGCACCTCAGCCACCTGACCTACCTGGAGGCCACGGACGGCCGCTTCTACCAGAAGCTGGTGCAGCTCCTGTGCACCCCCAACCAGCGCCTGGCACGCCCCCTGGCCCTGCGCTCGGCCCCCACCCTCTACAGCGGGAAGGCCCTGCTGACCCTGGACTGCATCAACAGGGACAGCCTGCCCTCGTGGAAGGTGGGCAGCTTCAGCACGCTGGCCGTGCCGGACCCCCTGAAGGAGGTGCTGGAGGACCCCGAGCTGTACAAGCGAGCCGTGGGCATCCTGAATGGCGTGCGCTCGCCCCGCTGCCTCCTGCGTTATCTGGGCTGCAGGGTCATACTTGCCATAGTCCTGCTTCTCCTCTCCGCAGCCTCGCTGTTCTTACCCTTCATCTTTGGGGCCTGGCAAAACCAGCCATTTCAGCGGTTCCTCGTGATCAGCGCCAATGTATTTTTCGGCCCCTTTTTCATGATCTTAAGCGTCAACACCCTGTGCTGGTTCCGAAGGTCTTCCAAGAGGACCCTGCGGGAGCTGGCATGCCGCGTCGGGGAGGCCAACCTGCTGCTGGCGCCGCACTCGGTGCTCATGGGCTGCGAGACCAAGAACAAGCTCTACTTCGTGTACGTGCTGCTGGGCGACTGCCAGCGGGCCTTCCTGGGCGCCCCCGAGGGCGAGGCCGCGTTCCAGGAGGCCATCCTGCGGTTCGCCTCCAGCTACGCCTGCTGCCTCGCCCACGGGCACTTCCCCCAGTGGGAGGAGGCCGCGGGGGGCTCTGGCCACCTGGAGGTGGGCCTGTGCTTCTGCCAGTTCGTGTCTCTGCAGCTGAGGAGACTCGGGGGGCAGGGGGGGCGAGTTGAACCCCGTGTGACGGTCTGAAGGCAGAGGCAGGGCCCCTTGCTGGACACCCGGCCGCACCTGGGGGGCCCTGCGGACTGGGCTTCCCTGAGCCCGGGGGGCGCACACAGGCTTCCCTGAGCCCCGGGGGGCGCACACAGGCCTCTCCCACGGTCCGCTGTGCGCCCCGCCCAGTCAGACCCAACTGACTGCAGACTTCCCTCCAGCTGCCCCAGCTCCTGCACTGCGGACCTGCCGCCGGCAGAGGGCGTGTCTGGGGCCGCCGCGCCCCGTCCTGAGAGGAGGTGTTCTCAGAGGGCTGGTGTCTCCCCAGCGCACTGACCCCGGAAGCGAGCTTCCTTTCCGCGGAACCAGCTCCTCCCCGGGAGAGTAGCCTGGGCGTGGGGACAGCAGGGCGGCACCTGAGGGCCCTGGATGAACGGCGAGGCCCCATCGCTCTGCGAACACCAAGCGAGCGGGACTCTGGCTGGGGCCCCCGAGGTTCCTATACACCAGGGCAGGACCGCGGAGATGTGCAGTGGATCTCGGTCTCTGCCCTGGCCTTAGCTTACCGATCTTCAGGTGAGCAGCTGGCATCCAAGTCCAGTGCTGGGCAACTGCTCCTGCCCTCCTCGGGGAGCCCGCGGTCCAGGGCCGGGTGCGGTGATGGCGAAGGCTCGGCTAAGCCCCGCGTGGTATTGCAGCCCCGCAGCCACTCTGACTGGGCAGCCTTGCAGTCGGTCAAGCACAGCCCGGGACAGCAGCCCCAGAGTCGCAGGCAAATGCAGCCCCTCAAGGGGCCTGCCCAGCCGCCCCTGAGCCCCAGCGCCCTCCCTCCCAGGCCTGCCGGGCACCCCTTTGATGAGGCCTCCAGAGTGGACCTGGCCCCCCCAAACCCAGCCCAGGCCGGGGACCCCGAGGCACTACCCCCAACCGGCAGTCAAGCCGGTGCTCCCGTCCCGCCCGCCCACCCCTGCAGGGACACGCCTCCCTGTCTCATCGTCCCCTGTGGTCTGTCGAACTGCAAGGCAGCTCAGGCTTCACGGGTCACCTCGGTCCTAGAGCTGGGGTGGCACAAACAGGGTCCCCCAGCGGGAACTGGCCAGTGTGCGAGGCCCCCGAAGAGGAGGCTCTGGGCCAGAGGCAGCGTGAGCAAAGGCGCCAGGCAGGGGGGGCCTTGACCTCGGGGGCCCCGTGATGGGCTCCGATGCAGCCTCTCTGCGGCCCGCAGGACCTGGACCCCCTGCACGTTAAGGGTTGGGGCTAATGGAGCAGCGTGGCCAGGACGTGGCGATGGACGCTACCCAGGGGGTCATGTCCTGTGAGCCCCGAGCGTGCCAAATGGCCTTGGTGCCAGAACATTCCAGGGGGACAGCGGTGAAGCAGCTGGACACTGCCCCCACCTCCCCAGGGGTCCCAGCACCTGGCCTCTGAGATGCCCAAGACAAGGGCGCCACTTGGGCCTCATGTGGAGAAGCAACCTCAAGGAGCAGTGGGGGCTCCTGCTGCCTTCCCAGGGACCACCCCACCACCACCACCGACTCCACTGGGTCCTCTGTCCCTGCAAAGTCTCAACTCGTGTCCATCACACCGGCTCCAGGCCAGAACTGCTTCCCAGATTGCACAGGTGGCACCCGCAGGCCACACTGGCCACACCTGACCAGCCCTACTGTCCACTCAGCGCCCAGGGCATCTGTGCCAGAGAGCACGAGCCCCAGGCACAGAGCCGGGCAAGCGGTTGCCCTTTTGTGCTAGACTCCTGGAGACAGCACGGGGAGGTGGGGCTGGGGCTGGGGGCAGGGGTCCAAGGCCCTGCTGTGGGCACATGAGCACACATATGTGTGTGCACCCACAGGTATGCATGCCTGTGGCGCCATGGCTCCTGATGACAGCAGCATTTCTGCCCTGCAGTGCCAAGCCATGGCAGATAGGCAAAAAGAAGGGCAGTCTGTCACTTCAAAGGGCTGAGATCTTTCATCATGAAATAGCACATCTGTGCAACAAGAAAGGGAAAATGTTCAAACGATCCATTCCACCCAACTGTCTCTCACAGGGCGTGTAGGAAATCCCAGCCACTTTTGGACCACGTGTGGGGCAGGCAGGCCCTGCCATAACCAGCCCTGGAGGCTCTATGGGGCTCTTGGGAGTTGGCCGCCGCTGCCCCCGCCGCCCCATTCCTGTGCAGATTTCACCATTGGGGCTGGGCAGCATCAGGTGTGGGGGTGCTAGACCTGGAGGAGTGGTCCCCTGAGAGTGCCCCTGGTTTCCAGGGTGTTGGGGGCCCCCAGGGTGGTCGACCTCCAACACAGCCCCCCAATCCAGGGCTGCGTGACCCAGGCCTGCTGCTCCAGGATAGCAGGACCCCCGCCCCCCATCTCCGCAGCCTGAATCCAGGGCTGCCCAGGGTCACACTGCCTGCTCTGGCCTCTCAGCCTCACCACCTAGCCTCGCCAGTGGCTAGAGGGTGTGGGGCACCCAGGAGTGGGGTCTTCACGGTGGAAGCAAGAGGTGAGGACCCCCACTCTGGGCAGGTGAGGGGTCTTTGTGGGCAGATGCCCTGGGAAGCGCTTCCGCTGGGCCTGGGGCTAGCGCTCAGTGCAGAGACAGGCAGGGGGTGGCTGAGGCTTTGCCCAGTGCTGGGAGCCCCTCACAAGGCTGCTGGTCACCCGGCCGGCATGCCACCTGCTGGTGTGCACCCCACAGACTCTGCAGAGACCCCCACCTTGGCCCCGAAGTTTCCCATGGGACAAGAGAGGAAGGCGTCCAGGGTAAGGTGGCGACGTCCTGAGACCCCCTCATCCCAGCTCAGGCCTGGATTCAGCAGGCGTGAGCTGGGACTCTGAGTGATCAGGTCCCTGGGCCCCATAGGACCCTCCAGGGCCTTTTAGGACCCCTGATATTCCCCAAGGTTTTCTAGGCCCCTCCACTGACCCTCCACCTGGCTGGATTCTGCCCTGTGGGTCAGGTGAGCTTTACCAGGGATGGTTGGGATGAACCAGAGCTGTCCTTGCCATAGTTTTCCCCCAAGGGGACAGGGAGGTGAGATTTGGCCTGAGGTCAGCAGAGGGCTGCCCTGCACCTGCTCTGGGTGTCCTGGGCACTGTGTTGAGGCCATGAACCGGGGTCCTCTCCCCAGAGGTCCATCCCAGGGGGGAGCCTTGGGTGGGGCCTGGAGGCAACAGGTGAAGCTGGGACAGAGAGTGAGCGCAGGTCCCAACTGCCTCGTCGAGACTGTCCCCATGGGACTCAGGGTCCAGCCGTAGCTGAAAGACATCTTGGCCAAGGAGACAGCTGGGCTGCCTGGTGCTGCGGGTGTCCACACAGGTGACTGGGCTGCTGTGAGGACAAGCAGCAGTGGAGGTGGGCTGCAAAAGGCACCCTGGAGCTGGGAGCTGGCAAGGTGACCCTAGGGGCCTGGGAAGCCTGGCTCCAGAGCGAGTGGCCCATGTGCCTGTCGGACCCTGCCCCAGCACCCCAATGTGGGGGGCTTGCCCGGGTCCTAGTTTTACAGACAAGAAAACTGAGTTTCGGGGGGCTGGCCCCAAAGACTGCGCAGCTCCACATCCCCATGGCAGGGCTGCAGCCAACTCCTGCTGCTGGCCCTGGTCCCTGCCCCGGGGTCCTGGCTGCTGGGTGAGTGGCAGGAAACCTGAGGGGGGAATATCCCACCTGCGGATGCGGCCACCAGCCTGCGGGTTTGGGAGGCCAGTTCTGAGGGGAGTCCCCGTCCAACACCCCAGGCTGGCTGCCCCCTCTGCTGACCCCCACCCTCTGCCCCAGCTGGGGAAGGACGGGGGTGGGGTGTGTGTGTGTCTGTGTGTGTGTGTGTAGGGAGCTGCATCGTGTGTGTGTGGGGGTGTGTGTGTATGTAGGGAGCTGCGTCGTGGACACCTGGGGGGGAGGTGGGAGTGCGTGTGCACACTGTTGGCATGTGAGCGTGTGCCTGTGTACATGTGATAGTGTACCCTTGGGTTCTGCATCCGAGGATTCAAGCAACTGCCCATCAGAAATACTAAAGAAAAAAAATTCCAGAACGTTCCAAAGAGCAAAACTTGAATTTGTCAAGCTGGCAACTATCTACATAGTATTCACATGGTATTAGGTATAAGTAATCTAGAGATGATTTAAAGTAAGCGGGGGTGGGGGGGAACGTGTGTAGATTACATGCCAGTATTACACCATTTTCTATAAAGGACTTGAGCATCCCTGGATTTTGGTATCCACAGACTTCACTATCTGTAGAGGGGTCCTGGAACCAATCCCTGAAGTACCAAGGGACGACTGTATGTGTGCATGAGTACGTGCACACGTGTGCAGACAAGACCCTTCAACGGTCACTACCACATTGTAGCGCAGGGAGGCAGGGCAGAGGGGTGAGTCCTGGCTGCCTTGTTCTACTGCAGGGTCTGCACTGCGGGCTGGACCTACTGCAGGGTTCCCGGCAGGCCACCTGGATCCGGCTCCCAGCCCACACCCTGACGCTGGCCCGAACCCACGGCCCTCTTGTCTGAGTCCATCTTGGAAGCATCTCCCGGAGCCAGCAGGGTGCTGCCTGCCCCCTCGGGTGAGCCCGGTGGGCTGAGGGAGCCCGCAGGATGTGCAGGGAGGGTGGAGCCCTGCTGTGTGTCTCTCTCCGCGTAGGTGCACCCAAGGGGGTAAGGGAAGCATCAAGATGTTTGCTATTGAAAACCCAGGAGGGCCTTAAGAGGATGTAGCACAGGTGAATTGTTTTAATTTGAAATGGTTTAAATTTCATCTCAACAACCTTGGGTTTTAATTCTAGGAGGTGAGGGAGTTTCAGTTTAAGATCTGACTCTGACCTCGTGGTGGTGTTGGGCGGTGTCCTGAGAAGCAGGATGTTAAAACGTTCCGAAGATTCCTGGGGTTTGAAACCCTTAGGAAATCTAATTAAGAAGTTTGTCTCCTTGGGGAAATGTCTTAAAAAGTTCAGAGGGATTAAATATACTAAATGGATAAGACAATAAAGAAGGCTGAACGCCAAAGAATTGATGCTTTTGAACTGTGGTATTGGAGAAGACTCTTGAGAGTCCCTTGGACTGCAAGGAGATCCAACCAGTCCATCCTACAGGAAATCAGTCCTGAACATTCACTGGAAGGACTGATGCTGAAGCTGAAGCTCCAATACTTTGTGGCCTTCTGATGCGAAGAGCTGACTCACTGGAAAAGACCCTGATGCTGGGAAAGATTGAAAGCAGGAGGAGAAGGGGACGACAGAAGATGAGATGGTTGGATGGTATCACCGACTCAATGGACATGAATTTGAGCCAGCTCTAGGAGATGGTGATGGACAGGGAAGCCTGCCCGGCTGCAATTCTTGGGGTCATAGTCGGACACAACTTAGCGACTGAACAATAACAATGACATATTAACTCAGGAATAAGTGAGGGCAAATACAAAGGTTACTAGATTAATACATGTTTTTAAGTTGAGCTTTAAAACTTTTTTTCTAAAGAAAAGCCGGGGTAAACGGGACACGAGGAAGGAGGGCGCCCAAATGGGGTGCGGGCCACAAAGCAGGAGCGCGCCCGAATTGGGGGGTGGGGGGGCGGCAGGAAAAAGGCCGAGGACGGAGGATACTCAGGGGACCAGGTGGATGTGAATCTTTACTCAGAGAAAAGCGACAGAGCTAGAGGCTCACGCGGGGCAGGCGGGGCGGCAGCAGTGGGGGCCTGGGAGCAGGGGCACGACCACAGCGGGGGCGGCTTCGGGCGAGGGCGGCCACAGGTGCGCGCGGCGTGGGGCGCTGCGGAGACAGGCCGAGGAGGGGTGAGGGCGCGCCGCGCACGGCGGGCGCAAGAGCAGCCCATCGCCCACCTGCGGGCGGGGACCGCGAGGCTGAGCTCCGTCCTCCCGCCTCCCGGTCACCTGACGCTGCGCCCCGCCCCGCCCCGCCCCGCCTACATTCCCCTCCCCCACGCACGCCCCCACCCCATTCCATCCCGCCCCTCCTACGCTCCGCCCCTGCCTACATCCCTCACCCCGCCCCCTCCCAAGCCCCACCCCACCCCGCCCACGCCTTGTCCCTGCCCCGGGCCCCAGCCCCGCACGAGGTCACGGGGGTTGCCAAGGGCGGAGAGCACCCCTGCGTAAGCCTCTAGCAGACTGGGCCGGCGTCCCCCAGGGCCTCGTTCCCTATCTGGGGGCACACATACCCGGAGGGGCTGCGACTCAGAGGCCCTCACTGAGGGGCTGGGGGCGGCGTGCTCCCCGCCACCTTCTGCGCAGCCTCCTTCTCTCCCCGCAGCGCGGCGTCCCCGGGAGGCTTCCCGGAGGGCTTCCCGGTGGGCTTCCTGGAGGGCTCGGTGACCGCCGCCGCGGCCGCCGCGCGGGCTTGCGCCCTGGACGCCTTCCGGGGCGCCTCCTTGAAGGCGTGGTAGCTCGCGGACAGCCAGGGCGTCTCCGTGCCGTGCTTGCGGCCCACCGGGTAGGCGCCGATGGCCGCCAGGAGGCTGCGGTGGTGCTCGGGGTCTAGCTCGGTGTAGTACATCTCCAGGGTCAGCGGAGTGCAGATCTTGTGCTGCGGGAAGGGCGGGTCAGGGGCGCGAGCCGGGCGCCGTGGGGGGCGGGGGCGGTGGCAAGCGCCGCGCCCCTGGGCTCAGGCGGCCAGGTCGGCCGGGATGCGGGAGGCATGTTCCAGGGCCACCCGCGGGTGGGCGGTCACCTTCTGCTTTTGAGCAGTTCGATAATACTGGAGGCAGGGCCCCTAAATGCATTTGTTTCTGCCGTAACTTCAAGTCACCAAGAGGCGGCCTCCGATTCAGAACTGAAGGCGCCACCGGGAGCCAGTCCCGCACAGAAGGCAGGCTACTGACCCGCCCGCATCCCGCGGGTCCCCAGGGTGTCCCAGCGAGTGCAGGGCATGCAGCCTGGTGAAGCTCTGGACGTACAGTGAGGATTGGTGGCCACTGTGGGGTGCGCTTTCACCTCGGAAACCACGGGGAAAGGGGAAGGATTTAACTACTGTAAACTTAAGAGTCTCTGAAAAAAATACACTGAAAATGATTTTTTAAAAAAATCTCATAAGGAAAGCTGAGAGAGGAAAACGAGGAAGGGGAACCCCTGCCAAGCGCGGAAAACTCTCCACGGCCACCTCCTTCCTAAGGCTTCACTGTTTAGATTACAAGGAGAGAAAATTTCTTGCTAAAGCCCCTTTGAATTTTTCTAAAGGCAAAACTTGACTATTCCTGGGAGGTGATGTTCCCACAGAGCTAGAAACACCCATTGCCCTCCTGTCTGCAGGGGGTGGGTACTCAGGGCAGTGGTGGAGAGGCCAGTCCTTCCCCTGGACTCCCCGTGGGACCCTCGCTGGCACACTCCCTGCGGGGCTCCACAGTCCTTCCCAGCCCCGGTGCCCAGAGTGCTGGCCTTACCCGAAGCAGGAAGCCGTCGGGGCAGCTGAACTGGTCGTACCAGATGGCCTTGTACATGATCAGGAGGCAGCCCATGAGCGCCATGGTGAAAGCGATCATCCGGCCCGTGGGCATCTGGGAGTGGACAGGTTGGAGGGAGAAGGGAGGGTGAGGCTGGGCTGGGGTCGGGGTGGGGGGGGCAGTGACCTCTCAGAGAGGAGGGGAGAGGAGGTGCAGATCTGTCACTGAAACATGAAAGGCTCCAGAGATCACTCATGAGTCTGAGCGAACTCCAGGAGATGGTGGAGGACAGAGGAGCCAGGCGGGCTCCGGTCCTCAGGGCCACAAAGAGTCCAACCCGACTTAGTGACCTAACAACAGATTATAAAAGCTGTCAGTAGTAAAGAGCTAGAAACACATTTGCCAGATACACAGCAGGAAAAGTGACTCTGCATCGTATGTGGGAAACCTGGGAGTCATGGAGGAAGAGACACAGATGACCCCCTGGGGAGGGTCCAGGGCGGGAGCAGGCAGCATGTCTCAGGGCAGGAGCTCCTCGGAGGCCAGTGGCTCCCCCCGGCTTTATGGTGCTGCCCAGGCCTGAGCCCCCACCTCTGATGGGGTGGTCAGCAGGACGCTGACCAAGGAGCCCTGGCCCACCCACCCAGTGCAGAGTCTGGGTGCCTGCAGCTGGCAGCACCTGTCTGCCCCTTGCCCTGACCCCCAGGGACAGGCCGGGTGCTTACCCTGCTGCGCACATCCTCCGGGCCGCCGCTCAGCTTCTGGCCCTCCAGGTCGGAGAACTTTGTCGACTGGTCCCCGGAGGACAGCTGGTATTCCGTCTGCGTCTTAATGACCACCTGTGGGAAGGGATGATGCAGGAAGGCCCAGAACTAGGGTGGCTGGGAGGGAGGGGGCCAGAGGTCAGCGGGCCTGCAGTGTGGGTGCTAGAGGCAGGGCTCTAGGGGCTACCAGCTGAGGCCAAAGAGAGGGAGATGCTGGAAGTCTGCTGGGGCTGAGGCAGCCCAGGACCTGGACAGACCATGGACAGAGCCCATCCAAGGAAAGGGCAGTTCTGGGTGCTGGGGGAGCTGACCAGGTCGCGGGCTCAGCCCGGCCCTTCCTCTGCTGGGCGTGCTGTCTTGGAGGAGGCCACACCTAAAGGACAGACGTCCCACTGTCCTTTATTTCAAGGGCAGGCTGGGAAGGGCCCCTCACCTGGTCAGCGAACGATGGCTGGAGCTGGCTGACATCCAGGGGGCTGATCAGAGGGACGCTGTCCATGGTACCCCCATCCCCAGAGCCTGTCTTTCCGGAGAAGCTGCAGTTCAGCTTCACCATGGTGGACGGCGCTCCTTGTCCTGTCCAGAGGCAGACACAGAGTCACTGGCCACCTAACAGATGCCCACATCAGCTGGACATTGAGAGGGCCCAGGTTATCCCTGATGATCCTCACACCAGAGCTGGGACAGGCCACGGGCGACCAGGCCAACCTCCTCAGGACAAACCGGGTGAGTCCAGCCACAAGATTGTAGTCCCTTCCTGCCCAGCAGACCCCCTCTGAGCCTCACAGCCATGCAGGTGGTAATGCCTCTGACTGGTGACTGCCCAGACACGCACGCTGCAGTCTTCCACTGGCCCACAGCTCCAGGAGACATTCTGAGAGTAGCAACCAATGGAAAGCAATCCCAGACAGAAGCCTGGTGAGTCAGGTGGCCAGACGTAGCAAATAAAACTACAGGACACCAGGTCAGATCTGAATTTCAGATGAGCAGCGGATGCTTTTGCTTTTCGTAGCATATTCATGTAATATGCAGTACAGGACACACTTATACTAAAAAGTTATTCATTGTCTTTCTGAAATTCAAATTTAACTGAGCATCCTCTGTTTTATCTGGCAACCCTACTGGAGATGCAGGAAGTAACAAAGAGCTACAGAAAGAGGCTGCTGGTGAATAAACCCAAGCTCTATCTACACGGAGCATGGGAGTCACAGGGTACATGGGAGTGGACCATCTGGGGAGCTGGGACTCCCAAAAGGAGCAGGGGGGGGGTGGCAGAGAGGTAGGAGGGCAAACTCCCCTGAGGAGGTCAAGACAGTTCCACCTCTAGGCTGACCGCTAAGAGAAAAGGAACACAACAAATGACTTCCAACTGAAAAAAGAGAAACACAAAAACATACTCGGTCAATCAAAGAAGAAAGAGATGGTCCCATGTCCACTAAAAATTAAATTTGTTTTAAAATTTTCTGACACACAACTCCAGGCACAAGGAGCATCACTCCTGAATTCTTCCAATCACTTTAGGAGGAAATAATGCAAATTTCATATGGAACTCATCCAGAGGAAACAAGGGCACCCACCCCAGCTGTGAGGCCAACAACCTTGATCTCAGCGTTTGGCACGACATGAGAGAGGAGACTGAAGGCTGTGCCACCCACCAATCCATTTCCAAGGTCCCACATAAAATGCAAGCGCAGGGGATCTGGTAAGACATACAAAGGCTGGGCGTATTCTGGAATTTAGCACCTGAAAAGCAATCAATAATTTCACCACATGAACAGAATAAAAAAGAAAATTCATCTGATCAATTTCAATAGTAGCTGAAAAAGTATTTGATAAGATTCAACATTTGTTTACTATTTTTAAAAAATCTATTGGAATTCCCTGTGGTCCAGTGGTTAGGGACTTTGTGCTCTCACTGACCTGGGTTCAATTCCTGGTGGGGGGAACTAAGAGCCCTAAGATCCCACAAGCAGTGTGGGGGAAAAAAAGTCTATTAGCACACTACCGGGAAAAGAAAACTTCCTTAATCTGATCAAGATTATTCACAAAAACCCTACAGCAAACCTTACTGAATGTGATCGGAGAAAGCTCTGCTTTTAAAATTGAGTTGGGGACTTCTCTGGATCACTGGTTGCGTCCAGTGGTTAAGATGCCATGCTTCCATGGCAGGAATCCAATTTCTGGTCAGGAAACAAAGCAGCCAAAAAACAAAACAAAATAAAAAAAAAATTGGGAGGGAGATACAAGGCCCTTTATTATCAGTTATATAAATCATGCTGGTAGAAGTCCTATCCAAGCAGTAGGGTAGGAAAAAGAAATAAGATGTACAAGGCCTGGAGGAGACTAGGTAATACTCTCATTAGTCACAGAAAAAGCATCTTGTGTGTGTAGAAAATCCAAAAGAATCTGCAGGAAAGTTATACGGATTAAAAGTGAGTTGAGCAGAGTTGATGAGTTTAAGATATTCAGAAATCAATTTTGTTTTTATATATCAGTGACAAAAAAATTAGAATATAACTTGTTGAAAGATTCCATTGAAACAGTATCAGAAATAATTAGGTGTTCACGAGTAGGTATAAGAAGGCATTAGAAGGACCTCCCTGTGGAAAAACAGAGGAAACCTTCATCAAAACATTATTGACTAGGACCAAATAACTCCTAAATTCCTTAAATGGGAAAGACATGGACATGGATTTTGGAAGTTTCCATGTTTAAAAATGTCATTTCCCCTCAAAGTGTATAGAGTCAATAAATCCGAATCAAAAGTCCAAGATGAGTTTTTTTGTGTGTGAATTTGACAAGCTTTGTGATTTTATATGGAAGGCAGAGGGACAAAGACACTCATGGCATCTTGGGAAGGACCGACGGGGTCTGGTCTGCCGGGCGCCCAGCTCATCACGTGGCTGTGTGGTGTCGCTGCATGGTACATGAAGGCCCGCAGACACATCCCACACACGGGTCAGCAGGTGTCCCTGCAACGCAAGGCCACAGCCACCTTTCAATAAACAGCGTCCGCGTGGCAAATGGTGGACCCAAGCCCCACCTGGCAACCACAGAAAAATCCACTCCAGGTGGAAGAGCCAAGATGGAAAAGCATCATGGAGATAATTCAGAATACTTGCCTGGTCTTAGGGAGGGAAAGTCCTTCAGTGTCACAAATAAGCACTAACCACAAAAGGAAATATCGATACTAGAACTACATTAAAATTAAGAGCAGAGGATGAGATGGCTGGATGGCATCACCGACTCAATGGACATGAGTTTGAGTAAACTCCGGGAGTTGGTGATGGACAGGGAGGCCTGGCGTGCTACAGTCCATGGGGTCGCAAACAGCTGGACACAACTGAGCAACTGAACTGAACTGAAAATTAAGAGCTCCTTATAACAAACTTATAGTTACCAAACTTGCTTATAGCAGGGGTAGGGGGAGATAAATTAGGAGTTTGGGATTAACATATACACTACTATCTATAAACTTTGGCCACCTGATGCAAAGAACTGACTCATTGGAGAAGACCCTGATGCTGGGAAAGATTGAAGGCAGGAGGAGAAGGGGACGAAAGAGGATGAGATGGTTGGATGGCATCACCAACTTGATGGACATGAGATTGAGCAAGCTCCAGGAGTTGGTGATGGACAGGGAAGCCTGGCGTGCTGCAGTCCATGGGGTCGCAGAGAGTTGGACACGACTGAGTGACTGAACTGAACTGATACATAAACTAGGTAAACAACAAGGGGGCTTCCCTGGTGACTCAGTGGTAAAGAATCCATTTGCAAGGATGCAGGAGACGTGGGTTTGATCCCTGGGTTGGGAAGGTTCCCCAGAGGAGGGCATGGCAACCCACTCCAGTATTCTAGCCTGAAGAATCCCACAGACAGAGGAGCCTGCTTGACGAAGTCCACAGGGTCTCAAAGAGTCAGACACAACTGAAGTGACTGAGTATGCATGCATGCAAACAACAAGGACCTACTGTATAGCACAGGGACCTCGACTCAGTATCTTGTAATAACCTATAATGAAAAAGAATTCAAACAAGAATAGATACATGTGTGTGTATCACTTTGCTGGACACCAGAAACTAAGACAACACCGTAGATTAACTACAGAGAGCTCTGCCCGTCAGAACACTGCCTTCAGGGATGGAGAGAGACTGCGACCGGGAGCAGACATCTCCAGCTCCTCAAGTGAGCAAAGGCTTGTTTGTCCAATGGCAAGATGAGTCGAAGTCCTTACTCTGGGCACATGTGAATGTGACCTTATCTTGGAAACAGGGTCTCTGCAGATCTAATCAAGTTCAGATGAGCTCATACTGGGTTACGGTGGACCCTGATCCAGTGACTGATGTCCTTACAAGCAGGGGGAAATCTGGACACAGACACGCAGGGAGGAGGCCATGTGAAGATGGAGGCAGCTATTGGAGGGAGGCGGCCACAAGCCAAGAGACCCCTGGGGTTCCCGGGGGGCTGGACAAGACAGGGGCGCCTCCCCTGGAGCCTGAGAGGGAGCTCCACCTTGCCAACACCTTGACGTCTGCTTCTAGAGCTGTGAAAGAGTGAGTGCCGGGCTGTGGTGATTTGTTACAGCAGTCCAAGGAAGCCAGTAAGCCTCAGACATCCAAAATACAGAGAGCGTCTCAACGCGGTCAAGAAACACAGGTAACCCAAGAGAAAAATGGACAAAGGAGTATTTCAGAGGGCCCTGAACGCTGAAGCAATGCTCTATCTAGGGTGTTGACTCTGTGCCGGGCCTCCCTCCTGGGTGCACACCCATCAGGACACCCCTAGCCACAGGAAGGCCTGTAAATAGAGCGTTCCTGTGACAGAGTGAAGGGAAGGACCTGTGCAACCTGCAGGAACAGCCCTGAATCACAGAAGAGCGTTGGCCGAAAGGGGCCAAGCACTAAGGAAGGTCGGAGAATAAGCAAGCCACCGCCTTGTTCAGGAACCCGTCTGCGCTCAGGAGCTCACGGGTGCGGCCCGCTCCTGGGCCAGCAGAGCCCCAGGGGCCCTTCGGGGCCAGCGGGCATGTCCTGTCTTCACTGGGATGCTGGATGCCTGGGGGTCTGGGGGTCACTTATGATCATTAGGCTGCACCTTTGTTTCACATCCTCTTCTGAGTTCGTTATGTTTCACAACAGAAAAAGTTAAACAAAACCAGGGGACAGCTGGCTGGTGCAGAGGTGCCCACACCATGCCCTCATCGAGGACTGGGCCCCGGGTTCCCGTAAAGGATGGATTGACGACTGGCTGTCCCCTCCGCACAAGGACCCTTTGGAGGGAAAGGGTACAACCAAGGGCCGCTGTCCACCCTGAACTCTGAACGTGGCCTCTCCCTCACCACTGTCGGGGCGCATCCCACAAAGACTGCTCGGCCTCGGAAGCCCACACTTGTGTCCTGCGCGACCCTTCTTGGTAACAGCACCATCAGCGCCCGTGCCTGCCCGGCCACAGGCGTCGGCTCTCACCCGGCCGTCCAGGCCCTGCTGTGGGCTCTGGTGCTGGTGGACTGGCAGGAACGAAGAGGCGGAGCCCCTACTGGCAGCAGACAGACAGACC